CTCATTGACCACTATTACATGCTATGTCGATATCACGGTGAAATGGGTTTCTTGCAAGTACAATAATTAATGAATCGTTTCAATTGTCGTTTCATAGCTTGGCCATTGTCATTTTGACAAGAAACAATGTTTTATTCATCGTCAATTTTTAGCATTCCATGGTCATATGGAATATTTAAAACGACCTTTTGGACAGCCAGTAATTGTAATTCTTATATTTTTAAAATGTAGATAGGGAGTGTTTCCAAATATGTATTTTTATTATAAAATTTTTGAACATAAACTGCACCGATATTTAATGATCTAAGATTGGCAAAAAACAGATTATTGAAAAAGTACAACGATATGCCGTCTCAAAAGAACTTACCCAATTATGTTTTTTTTAATGATGTATTTTTTGTTTAACAACGTGGTCAGCTTCAAAATGGAAAAATGTTTGAAAAATCTTTCCAATGTGTTGTTAATGTATGGAAAATGAAGAAACGTGAAATTCAAGGAATCGTGGATACAAGCGCATTCATTCTTGAAAATCTCTGAGAATCGCTTACTCTGTTTATTCTTAGTCATACGGCATCATACTATTTTGGGTAGATGTCATATTCCCTGTTCTCATTCTCGTCCTTTTATGCTATATGATGAACGAGAATTTAGAGTGCTTAAAATAAATTAAGAATTTTTCGCTATTCTTTCATAACTTTTCTACCCGATTCGAGATTTTCTACGCTAATTAATTGTACAAAATATTGAAATAAGGAAGTGATTACTTGGTAATAGCTAAAAAACAAAGAAATTGACGTGATTTTTATTTGCAAAGCAATTATAAGGATTCTACTAGGTGACAACTAAATTTATTACAAAATTGTAGGAAATATAATTTTTACTGATATGTACAGATTTTCCTGAGGTTTCGAAAAAGAAATAACGATCGTAAATAAATATATAACATCCTTATAGTTCCCGTAATTAGACGACATAAAATGTGTCCAAAAATCTATGTGAAAAGTCCATTTGCAGTTCATAGTATTTCACCTATAGTAATTTTTTTAATTATTTTAGACTACAATGTTTTAAGTCCTTAAGTAATCAAATGCTTCTTTCTGCTCCAAGAAATAAATCACTCTATAATCAGGGCGATATGCCACTGGCACTAGTCTATTTGCTAAACCTTAAGGTATGTGATATCAAGATAGCCAATGGCTTGAGTTCAACGACTTCACATGTTTATTTTTGTATCAAGGAGAAAACTTGTGTGACATGGTCTGAAGAAAAAAGGTTATTCCTGGGTCATACAACAAAAACATCATACGCAAACACTTGATTCCGGTTATTTGATTCCACCTTTGCACATCAAACTGGGATTAATGAAACAACATTTGTCAATTAGGAGGAGAAGACTTGTCTTCCTACCTCGCAAATAGCTTCCCTTCAGTCACTCAAAAATTAACTTTTCAAAGAATCACAGATTCGTTAACTGATGAATGACCCAGTGTTTGATTTAAAAAAATTTGGACACTGAAAAGCATATGAGTATTTGTCAGATATATAAGTTGTGGTGGGGTTTATGGGTAACAATAAAAATCTTAACTACACACAAATTGTGAATCAGGAGCTCGACTCTTTTACAAAATAATAATAATAATAATAAACAAATAAATATCTTGAAAGGAACATAAGCAAGAATGAACCTACCTACACTCACATCTGCAGTATTTCCTAGGATTCTTAGCGATTAATCTTAACACGAAACAACGTTTAATCAGGACCATGCAGTAAAGGTAGAAAAAACGACAGAACGTTAACATGACGCAGATGAGTGCTGGAATCTGAATGATTGCCAGAAAATGACTGGGAGTAAATGAACAAAAATAAAAATTACCACCAAGTGTGATATTTAAATCCTCGTCTTTGATGGTTTATTTACCATACTTTCACTAGGCTGTATTTTTTCTATTTACTGTAGTTTATTAGATAGATCGATAGGTAACTGTATTTATTGGTTTTTATAAACCATCGATTCAGAAGCATTATTCAGTTGGGATTCGCTCGTGAGCTGATCAAACGAGTTGACTAACTTCAATGAGCTAGCGATAACCCGCTCTGAAAATTACAGTTATAGCTTTTATATCCCCACCATTACGATACCGACCCTTCAGTAATTGCCGCTCAATTTTGAAGTCACTCTCTACCACTCAGTAACTTGACAAGTGACTTCACTCCGTTTACCCCTACAGCCAATCTCCGCTCCAAACGCTCTTAGCTCTCCTGATTCACCACTCCAGCCTTTATGCGGCGTTCTCCCTCGTTCAGGTTTCAACGCATTCACTATTATCAGCTCTTATTTATTTAGATACAGGTTATAGTCCAATACGATCAAATTTTAAAGCTTTATGCTAAAATAAAATGTGGAGCCTCGTCATACAAAGAAATGCGTGTTAACATGCAAATTCACCAAGTAGAAATGGAGGTTAAAAGAATAAAAAATAATAATAATAAATCAGCTGTTCGCCTGTAAAACGGGCGCTACCAACTTTTATTTTTTAATACTAATTATTTTAGTTTTTATACAATATACAGATATATAAAAAAGCACAATACGACATGGATAACAATCCGTCTGTCGAGAGTTAAATAAAATGAATGACAAAAATGAAAACAAATAAAATGAAAATTACCACTTAATACTGCCTACTATTATTCAATTTATAGAGATACATACAATTATATTTTTTCATTTTTTCCCTTGAAAAGCTGTCACCAATTGAATTCTGAATCAGTTGATACCTATATTGCCACGCTTCGCGAGCGTAGTATGCAAGGGCTTTATAATTCCTTATTTTTTTACGCCTATGCGGTGTAGGTGTGACGCCAATCGATGATGGTTGAGTCGCAGACGGATCAATGTGATGTAGAATTTCCTTTTCTCTTTGAATGAATGGTACCATGCTCTTGCAGGGGACACGAGGGACCTGGTTTCCATAATACTTTCCTTTCTCCTGTAGGGATGCGCCATAATCTTCGTTCCACGAAGAGAAGACTTTTTTTTTGGGGCTACTATGTCTAAAGTCGTAATTACGTGAGCTCTGCTTTCACGCATTGAGGTCGCCTCCTTGGCTAATCGATCTACCTTTTCGTTTCCGTGTACTCTGGCGTGCCCTTTGGTCCATATAATCGCGGCTGAGCCGTGTTCTTGCAACTCAAACATCAGGGATCTGATTGTGCATATCATTTTTGGGCTTTTGGAGCTAGGTGCGTTAATGCTTAGCACTGCACTTAAGGAATCATTTGACGCTTGGCATATAGCAGTGCCTCTGTTACTGCCAGTAGCTCTGCCGTGTATACGGAGGCTTTCTCGCTGAGATGGAATTGGGCATATTGTTTGCTCGTTGTTTCGAGAAAGGCTGCTCCTATTCCAGTTTCGCTTTTGGATCCATCAATGTATATATATGTGATCTGGGAACATTGATGTCAGTCTTGCGTGAAATTACTGGTTTTGGTGGCCATGATGGATAAAATTAGAGAATATATTCAGCTTCCTGATGGTTTTAAAATAATCGACATTATATGTTGGTAGACCCTCGGTTTTTCCGGGTTCCAGTTGCATTGAGTCACCTCAGTGTGGGCGGTGTCAGAGATTCAAACCATGTCTTCCTGGAATGCCCCCGGCTAGATCATGCATGTCAGGACATCTGGAAGAAGGTCGAGGAGGAAAAAATCCCCTTACCCAACAACCTACATGGGATCCTCAAAAACACGAAGATTTAAAAATGTATATATAGATTTATAGTGTCCAATAAAATTGACATATAATAGTGTGCGAATGAGTGGAATACACTTCATCAAAACGTGTAATTGGCTAACGTAAATTAACATGAAAATATATTATAAATACAGCCAAAAAAATTCCTTATTTTGATCAAGGTCTGGACAAATACAACAGGGCGAAAGGCTAGGAACACCCAGATGCAGAAGGTGATATTCTGAAAAAAATCGAGCACTCAGCCACAAAGTGAATAACATCTTTTGAGTTACATAAGGAGCACAATTCCTTAACATTAGATTTCCAGGGTACAAAATTGAGGTATATTTGCTCGCAACGAATTTTTAAGAACTAACGGATCTCCGAGAAGCGTAAAGGGTTTGTTTACTCACTTACGATAATCCTGGCCAGCCATTTGTATTTTCGTTTGTAAACGTGAAAGGACATCCATAATCGTGTGCCAACTTGTTCCATTTAGGCCCCGTTACACCAGTCACGGTTCAAGCCGGGTTCACTGGAACGTCGTTCACAATTTGAACGAAGTTCAGAGAAGGGAGCGTTGTGACAACCAGTCGTTGGTACAACTAATTATAGCCTTTTTGTGTGCGGTTATAGCTCTATACGTCGTAGTTTTTCATTGTTGGCATTGTTTGCTGTATCGCTTTCCGTAGTCTTTTTGTGTTGATTTCATTTTTGTTTTTTTACTGTTTTTTTTTTATTTTTTCAATCTATATTCATTATTTGGTTAACCACTTTAATTTTGTTGTTTTTATTTTGTATTTTATTTTTAGCTATTTCACTGTTTATTGAACCACTAAGTAGTAAGTTTTATAGTCTTTAATTAGTTTTAGTTTAAGCAGTTTTTATTGTATTTTATTTAGTTTAAGCAGTTTTTATAGACTTTTAATTAGTTTTGGTTTGTAGTTTTTATCTACATCCATTGTTTGTATTCGTTGTTTGTGTTATTTCATTTGTAAAATATGTCGGACAAAAAACGGGCGACGAATTTCACTAAAACCGAGGAAAATATTTTGTTAGACCTAGTTCGAAAATATGTCCTCATTTTGGAAAATAAAAAGACAGACGCTGTAAGTGCCAAACAAAAGGCTGACTGTTGGCTACAGATTACAGCGGAGTATAACTCTTTGAGTGGAGGTACTGCGAGAAGTAGTGCCGTTTTAAAAGGAAAGTACGAAAATATTACGAAAAGAGGAAAAAAAAACTTTCCGATAAAAGTGCCCATATGAAAAAAACTGGAGGTGGGCCACCACTTCCAGCTGACGACAGTCAGGACAAAGTATTAATACAATACAAAGTAGTAAGTATGTTAACTGGTTTCCAAAGCCAGTACGATGATGATAAACCAGGTAAGTTATTCATATTTCACTTTTAACCCTTTTTTTATTGTATTCTGAAATCTTATATTAATATTTATTTTAAATTAATATTCCAGAAAATGAAAGCATGAACGTGGAAGTGGTTGAGATTGAGGTTGACAACAATTGCAATATTGTGTGCCCAGAGGTAAGTACTTTATAAATAGATATTTATTTTAACCTTCGCAATAATGGTGTTCTTTTTCAGAAAGAAGATGAACTAATAGCGCTAGATGAACCGATAAACGTAGCAGAAACCACTGCTGCTTTGCCAGAGCCATCTTGCTCATGGGCGGATTACAATCCAGCATTATTAAAAAAGCCTGTCTTCGCACCTCTGAGGAAAGGTAAGGAAAGGATTTATATTTATCTTAATTTTTTATTGCTGATACAGTTAAGGTAATTAAGTTAACTCATTGTCAATTTTAGAGTACAAGAAAGCCCCTTTACGGGATTAAATATCAAAGTGGGCTATTACGAAAACTGAGTTAGCTGCACTACAGCAACAAGGGCACGACACCTGGCTGAAAAAAAAAAACGCTAGAAGAATTGGACAACAAAATAGAATGTGACAAGAAAGAGAATGAGTTAAAAATGAAGTGTATTTTAGAATAATATAAAATAAGGGTGCTTCAAAACAAAAAAGAGCACGAGACACGCCTTGAAGCCCTCGAATTAGAAAAGGAACTTTTGAAATCAAAAATGAAAAATGAATTATATAATAGCATAATAGTTATATTTTATTAAAAGTAGTATTTCTTATGATTAGATTATTTTAATTTACATTACATTTTTATTATTTCCTTTACACTAAATTATTATTTATCTTTTATTATATGTACATATAAATATGTATGTACATTTTTTTATTGCTTCCTTACATAACTTCTATACCTACGATGGTGTTTCTATAAGGTGTCAAAATATTCAATAAATGGAATTCTTGCTTTCCCATCATATTCTACTTCTCCAATTCGATCGAACTGAAGGTTAATAATTTGTGTTTCTATGTCACCATTGATGAATGGAATCGGATCTTTGAAAATGCATGCTATATTATGCAACACTGCAGTTGCTACCACAATTGGCTCAACCAAATTAAAGTTGCACCTCATTCCAATAGCAAGTATAGGAAAGCGACGTTTCCAAACACCACATGATCTCTCGACAACGTTTCTTGATGTGATTAATGATTCATTGTACAATATTTCCCCTCTTGTGGTTGGGTGATTTAATTTTGTTAGCAAGTACGTTTTTAGAGGATACCCACTGTCACCATCTAAAACAAGATCTTGCATATCTCCTTTTTCAAATTGTGTTTTTAACATTGAGTTTCTAAAAATGTGGGCATCATGTGTGCTACCTGGCCACCTGGCAACAATGTTTTCGAACTTCAGTTCTGCATCGCAAACTGTTTGTACATTCAATGAAAAGAATCCTTTCCTGTTGCGAAACAGTTATGCTTGATTAGCACCTAAAAATTAAACAGAAAAACTAGAAATGGAAAAAAGATATTTGCAATTTATTTTATACCTGGAGATTGTAAACGAACATGAGTGCAATCAATAGCACCTATGCACTTTGAAATCTTGCTGATTTTGTACATTTCAGCACAGACAGCCATTCTTCCAGATTCATTATTTGGGAAATGAATAAATTCTCGCCTCAATGATGCAAGAGCTCGAGAAACTCTGCGCACCATTCTACATATAGTAGATTTATGCAATCCACTAAAATCACCAAAAACGATCCAGTTGCATAAAATCGGATTGTAGTTAGAAACATCAGATCGGGGGAGGTAGCATGATTTCTGAAAACATAACATTATCAGTCGTCAAAAAAAAAATATATATATATTGCTATTCAAAGATAACTAGTTAATACCACTTGCCTGGTAGTACAATGAGTTATTGAATTTCTTATTTTCTGTAACACAAAGTTCACTGCATTCTTTGTCATCCTGAATTTATTAAAGAATTCATCGTTATCCCATTCGTGAAAATGTTCCTGTCTGGTTCTAAAAACCCTTTCTTTGTTAATATGTAAAGCTACTAACTCAAGGAAATCTTCATCATCTGTTAATTCTTCTAAATAGCAACGTAAAAATTCGTCCTTTTCGATCTATCTCAATACACAGTTAAACAACGCGCAGGTTATATTATCAAATGAACGTTGTTCAGCTCTGAACCCTGTTTAACCCGAGCTCGACGACCGTTCAGAATTGATCGACGTTCATCACTTGATCTCGGACCAATAGAGATTGAAAAACGCCGATATTTGTGTTGAACTTCGTTCAGTACTGAACCAAGGTTAAACGAAGTTGGTGCAACCGGCCCTTAGAAAACCAACAACAATTCGTGTTCATCATCATGCTGTGATTGTAATTTTGGGTAGAGGCAGAGATTCAAAGTTCATCCGTTTGAAAACAAATAAAAAATGTAGTTTCAGGGTAAAAATAAATAGAACGTCAACCCCAGTTTCTAACAAGAACATATGTGACGGGGTAGGGCCCGGAAGAGATAAGAGCTTTTTAATACAAAATCACTGAACCTTTCCTATTACCTTGTTTCTCTGGAACAGAATCTGTACCAGATCTGGCAAGCATAGCACAAGATCGAACGACAAACGCTGTAAAACACTTTGAACTTTGCTGAAAGCTGTATCAAGTCCTGGGTGAACATCATTCAAATCATTCAAAGTTTATTTACTACAAGCTTAGCAATTGTTGCTTTGGGTTGTAGATGGTACGTAAAAGATAATTTCGTCAAAAAACTGACCCGTAGGCATTTGAAGTTATTTATAACATCTATCATCTTGCCCTTGTAACTCCAACTCTCTGACCGAGCCTGTCTACCACCTTTTCTAAAAATTATAATTTTTGATTTTTCCAGGATTACGGTAAAGTTCCATCGGTCACAAACGCCTTCTAATAGATTAATATTTCTTTGAAGGTATTCGACTCTATCTGATAGGATTATATAGGATCTATATCGTCCGCGTACAAAATAATCTTAATAAATTTCTCCCCTATGGTGATGCCACATTCAAGAATGGAACTTAGATTATCTAAAACAAGAAAATAGGATTGGCGTTAACAACCCCCCGCGTCTCACACCGGTTTTAAGCTAGAAAAACTCCAAAATATCATTTTTATATCACACAGCTGAAATCGTAGAACGAAACGTAGATTTCAGAGTATTTAATATTTTGAAAGAGAAACCCAGATTGGAATGTTTCAGAATTAGCGAATTCGTACCTATTGAATCAAGTGCTGCCTTAAGGTTTTTTACAAAAAAAAGTTTAAAAAAAAGCTTTTCTACCTTTTGAAAAGTTTAAATTGATTATATTTGAGAGCACAAATAAATTAGCCATAGCCCAAAAACCTTTCCGGAACCCAACCTGCAACTCGCTGAGGAGGTTGCGTTGTGTTACAAATGCCTCTATTCTCCGTAGAAGTAACCCAGTGAAAACTTTACTAACAGAAGAAAAACATATTCTTTATCAAGCCAACGTTTCGATCTTTATTGAGACTCTGCACTCTCAACACGACACGCAAGAATGGCACAATTACACAGAAGACAAATCCTTTGAGCCCTGAAGATGATCTCGATAAAGATCGAAACGTTGGCAGGATAAAGAAAATGTTTTTGTGAAACCTACATCACATCAGACCGCATCTCACGATTTCTGAATAATGATCGATTAACGGTCACTAATCACCACACATACCACCCAAAGTTTACCGCATTATAATTAATTATAAAATGTATTTTAGACAATACAATTTTTATTGTGTATTTTTATCAATATTATTGCTTTTTTTAGACAGATTAAGCTGAAGAAGTTGTCAACTTTACAGGATTTACACGGGCCAAGGGGGAGGTCGTGCAGCCTGTCGAAGTAATTTAACGGGAAATAAACAAAATATAATACCGAGTCATTGCGACAAGAGAAACAGTTCTATTTGAAAAAGGGGCGAATCTATCGGACGGCCTTTACAAAGGAAATAAATTATGGCTGTGCGTTAGAATGAGTACTTCCACAGAGCAGGAAATGAAACGGTCGTGTCATCAGGCCATCGGATTTTTATAAAGAAGACGATATTACTGAGCGAAAGAAAATATAAAAAACAAAAAAAAACAATCACTTCTGTTCAATTTTATGTGATGGTATCGATTTGACAGTCCTAGTTATTTTATGTTAAATCGTATTGTGCAGACTGTTAAAGGTTATTATTTTGATGTGATTAATACCAGCCTTAATGTTATAATTGTTTACAAAGTATTATAAATCAGCGTAATAATTACGCGGTTAAATTGATAATTTATCATATTTTAGGTAGATGAAGGAGATTTATTGCACGAAAGTTCGAAGAAGGAACTGAGTGAACTTCTTTCTTTTAAATTTCTTCATCCTTGACATTTTACAAAACTCTAACGAACTAAAATCGAGGTTTAATTTAGTGTATACGAAAGAGCGAAGATTTCGATCAAGCTAGCAAAATATACGACCATTCATTTCCGAATGTTCCGAAAACAGCGATGTCGACATCAAAATTACAACTTTGTTCGTACAGTTGCTTACTTTTGCAATAGGTAGGCTTTGTTCAATAAGTAATGAAGGTGCTTACACCGCACAAATTTACTTTGTGAAGAGTCGTACGCGGTAGCGAAATGGTAGAGAGAGCATCCCGCAAAATCCGTTAATGATTACGAAAGATAGAGATAACATGTGCTCTGTTCGATGAAACACTAGACCCAATTATAAACTATAAAGCACTTTTATCGAAATTTGACAAATAAAATTAGCGGATAGCTTATAGCATCATGGAAAATTTGTTTATAACCTTTATTATCAAGTTCAAAATATTTACTTCGAACTCTCCGAAACTACATTTTTATGTTTCACTAATTTTAAGCCGGCAGTCCAAAACAGAATCATTTCACTCCCTACCTATAACATTTTAGTCCATAGAAACGGAAGAGATTATAAATTATCGGCAATTGAGTCAAAATGACTTGCGGTTAGTAAAATAAAAAATATAAATTCACTAATTTCGTGGCCCGCTTGATCAATTAATATATTACAATTAATTAAGGTTTTTAGTTGAGATAAAAAAGTCAATGGCACGAGCGGGATTCGAACCCACGATCTTCGGCTAGANGGTAGAGCACCGGCGTATCTAGCCGAAGATCGTGGGTTCGAATCCCGCTCGTGCCATTGACTTTTTTATCTCAACTAAAAACATTAATTAATTGTAATAAAAAATATAGTAATTCCAGTCACATAGGAGGGTATAGCGTGCGCGGACGAGTGTCAAAGCATATTACAATCATTTTTAAAAAATTGTATTATCAACGAAAATTGCATAGGCTATTAGTAACAATTATTAACATTAACAAATAATGGATAAAGTATGTGTAATGTATGTGCAATAACATATGATTTATTATTATAACTAACATCAGCCAGATTTTGACAGAGCTCAAAGAATGTACAATAGGTTAATTTTCCGTTTTTTTTTCTTTATCAAAAGTCTTACGGATTTTAGCTGTTAAGCAGCTTTCCTCTTCGGCTGAAAAACAAAATCAAGGAAAACGTGGCGTGAACTCTTTACGATAGTAAGTAAAAAATAAAGTAATTCCTGTCTACAGGAGGACACAACGTCTAACTACTTTTCGGATATCGCGGACGGCGAACCACTTTACAATGCTTTTTTCCTATTATACACAATTAAAAAATCAAGGACTCGGCCGGGATTCGAACCCAGAACCCCATGCTAGCGTGGTTAATACATGTCGGACGCCCCTACGAGTCAGCCACCGCGGCCCCCTTCAAATTAGTAACACACGTAAATTTCTGAGAGTCAATCTGATTCGTTATGAACAACTGTCTGTGTTCTATACGTTATTTAGACTCACGGTTAATAATACCTAGTTGTTTTTTGAAAAGTACATATTTTTAATTTTTGCAGTCGTACTCATATGCTATTCTCTTCGTCCCTTGCTTTTGGTTAGCATTGGTTAGCAAATTTAAATAATTATTGTTTGCCTGTGATGTACTAGGCTTTGTGTTCTGGAGGCTTAGTTTATATTTGAAACATGTGAAAGGCTGTAAGCGTATTTAATAAACAAATGATTTTCCGTATTTTTAACTGTTATTTTATTTTTTTAGTTAATTTAACTTAAGTTTTCAAAAAATGCCATAAAATGAGACGAAATAATGAACATCTTGTAAAGCTGATTAAAGCATTTTTCCAGTAACCTTCCTGTTTTTTTGCAATTCTGAACTTTTTCCTTAAAGAACTCCATGTTTTTTAAATCATGAAAGGAAGCTATTGTGACCTCTAATTATGTTAAATTCCTAATCTCTATCTCCAAATGATTTTGTCCAGTATCAATCTTATCTAGCTTTGTTGAACCACTTAAACATTTATTTCATTTTCATTCTCTTCCCTGCTTATGATATACGATCTTATTATCAGACCCTCTATACACTCCCGTCAAACTCGTTGTTAATCTTCTGACATTTATCCTCCTAAAAACAAAATTAATGCGTTCAGCTTATGGAATTCCCTCGCTTCCAAATATAAACTTACTTTTAGAACAATAATCTCGTTGCTCCCTTCCTATCTGACTGACGTTTAATTTAATTATTTAATTATTACTAAATTCATTTATCTCCCCATCAATCGGGAATCAATCCTTCCCTTGGTGCCGAAACACGCAATTCTATTTGT